AAAATGAACAGTTCTTTCTTTAACTCATCTCTCTTCTTGCAATACCTTACTGTATATCACTAATATAAACCAAATAGTACTTTTAGCATTCTTACTGGAAATTTCCTTAGCCAAATCCACAAATTTATTAGGTATGTTTTCAACCTTGCAAGTTACTCCTGGCCCAAGTTTTGTTAATTGTTCTGTCACTACATAACAGAGCTTCTCCTGCCTTTTCCCAGCCTCCAGTATCAATTTATCAGCCTCACTCCCTTTTATAGCCTCCGTCATAGATTGTTTGACATTCCTCCAGTCTTTGCCTGTAGCCTTCTTACTACTTTTCTGGTCTCTACCAATAGTCTCTTTACCACCCTTCCATCTTCTGCTCACCTGCTGGACCCAAACCCAATGCATCATATTTTAAGTTTTTTTGTTGTACCACCCTGCATCTAGATATTTCTACTGCTTCATATCAAACTACCCCAAAGTTTAGTGGCTTAAAACAATAATTTATTGTTTCTCACAATTCATAAGTTTGCTGCACTCAGCTAGGCAGTGTCTCTGTTTGATATCATGTTGACTGAGGTTATTTATGTGGCTGCATTCAGCTGGGAGGTTAACTAGAACTGGAAATGTCCAAGATAGTTTCTCGCACTAGTCTAGCCCATCATTCACTAGTCTAGCCCAAGCTTCTTTGTCTGATGGTTGGGACCCAAGCAAGCAAAAGCAAAAACAATAAAGCTTGTTATAGACTGGGATTGGAAGTCCTTGAAGTTTTTTCACCACATTCTTTAAGGAACTCGTAAGGCTAGCCCATATTCAAGGAGATGAGTTGCATAGAGTGGAATAAATTATTGGTGGCCATTTATAGAAATAATCCAACATAATCTTCAATTTTTATAAATATTCTAATGACATAAAATAATGCACATTTTCTGTTGCTAGGTATACCAGTTAACTTTTCCTAAATAACAGATTACTCCAAAACTTAGTGATTTAAAATGGCAAATATTCATTATTTCTCATAGTGACTGGATAGGTTTTCTCTCTAGGCAGGCTTGGGTTGGGCTGGATGGTCTGAGATAGCTTTATTCACATGTATGAGGTCTCCACTGGGACATCTAGGATAGATGAGACCTCTTTCTAGTCTGTCATCCTCTAGCAGGCTAGCCTTGGGTTATTTATAGAAGGATTCTCAGTAGCAAGAGAGCAAAACAAAACTGGAAGGCCTAATTTCAGACCTCAGATAGTGCCATTTGTGTTGTACAGTAGTTCTCCCTTATCCACGGTTTTGCTTTCCACAGTTTCAGTTACCCGTGGTCAACTGTGGTCTGAAAATATTAAATGGAAAATTCCAGAAATAAACCATTTATAAGTTTTAAATTGTGCACCATCCTGAGTAGTGTGATGAAATCTTGAGCCTTCATGCTCCATCCCACCCGGGACATGAATCATCCTTTTGTCCAGTGTATCCATGCTGTATATGCTACCCACATGTTAGTCACTTAGTCTTAGTTATCAGATCGACTATTGCAATACTGCAATTCTTGTGTTCAGGTCACCCTTATTTTATTTAATAATGGCCCCAAAGCACAGGAGTAGCGATGCTGGCAATTCAGATATGCCAAAGAGAAGCCATAAAGTGCTTCCTTTAAGTGAAAAGGTGAAAGTTCTCACCTTAATAAGGAAAGACAAATAACTATATGCTGAGGTCGCTAAGATCTATGGTAACTTTTATTATAGTATATTGTTATAATTGTTCTGTTTTTTTATTGTTATATTGTTCTATTTATTGTTAATCTCTTACAGTGCCTAATTTATAAATTAAACATTATCATAGGTATGTATGTACAGAAAAAATCATAGTGTATATAGGGTTAGGTACTATCTGCAATTTCAGGTGTCCACTGGGGGTCTTGGAATGTATCCCCAGAGGATAAGACGACTGTATTCTATTGGCCAAAGCAAGTCACAAGCCAACCCAGTTTCAAGGAATGAGGAAATAGACTCCACCTTTTGATGGTTGCTACTACAAAGAATTTATGGCCATTTGTAGTCTAACAGTGGGGTATATATTCTCTTTTCCTTTCTTTCTCTCCCCGTCTCTCTTTCTCTCTTTATAAAGTTCAATTAAATCTAGATTTGTTCTATTGTTTGAATTCTCTATGTCTTTATTAGTTAGAAAATAGGCTAGGCTGCTATATAAAGAGACCCCATATAATTCCATGGCTTAAACAAGATAGAATATTATTTTTCTCTCATGGCAAGTTTGTGTAGATCGTTTCAGGTGGGTATAGTAGTTTGATGTTGTCTGGGACCCAGTCTTACTTCTTGTTCTCATTTCTCGTTGAAGCTTAGAAATTTTCCAGGCCTTAATTTTTTTTATTTATCTCAAGGAAGTTTTTTTCCATATTTCTTTCATTATTGTTTTTCTTCTTCCTTTTATCCCTCTGAAACTAAATCTGTGATTCCTAGATTTATTCTTTAAGTCTATCTTTTTAGTCTTGGCTTCTATTTGTATATTTGTTCTGTGCTATGAGATATTTCTTCCATTTACTTTACAATATTTCTAAATCTATTCTCAGAAGGAGCCTTTCAACAAAACTTTTGGTGGTGAACATGATGCAGTCTATACAGAAGTTGAAATATAATGATGTCCTCCTGAAATTTATATGATGTTATAAACCATTGTTACCTCAAAAAAAAAGAAAAAAGAAAGAAAAAGAAAAAACAAACAAAAGTAGCCTTTTTCCTTCTCACTTCCTCTTGAATTTTTAAGTTAAAAAATCATGTTTTTAAAAAAATCTCAGGAGACCCTCATTTATGGTTCTAATTGCATCCATCAGAGATTTCCATCAGAGTTTTAATGTTATTTAATGTCTAATTATTTTCTGTTGATCCCTGTAGTTCTGCTTAGTATGGATACCTCTTTGGATTGTTCAACTTGGTTTTCCCTTCTGAAGTTGCTTAGTGCCATCAGATGGTTTATGATATTTCTGTGCCTGTTTATGGAAGTGAGTTTCCTCGGCACCTCACAGGTTGTATATGGAGATTGCTTGAGCAGTGGCGAGAAGGTTTATTTTTGTCGCCATATTACCTGCTTCTGTTTTTATAGATGCTGCATCCTCTCAAATTTCATTGAGAATAAAAATGTAGATTTAAAGCTTTCTTTTCTTTCTTAAAATAACTCTGTTTCAGAAGAGGACATTTGCTCTATACTTTAAAAGAGGTTTTTCCGTTTCGTTTGACCTTCATTTTTTTTCTGAAGAGAAGTAAACAGTCATTCAAATCATCATTTCTCTGTCTATAATTTGTCATTTTTCTTTGTCTGCTTTCAAGATTTTCTCTTTTTACTTGGTTTTTAACACTTTGACTCTGATGTGTGTGGGCATGATTTTCTTTATGTACAGCAACTTTGGGTTTGCTGAGCATCTTGAGTCTGTAGATTTCACTAAGTTTGGGAAATTTTCAACTATTATTTTTCAAACACTTTTTCTAGCACTCCTCTCTCTTTTCCTTATGAGAATGTAATTGCATGTTACATATTTGATATTATCCCAAATGTTCCTCAGTCTCTATTCATTTTTAAAAATCTTTGTTCTCTTTGTCTTTAGATAGAAATTTTTTTATTGATGTGTCCTCAAATGGTCTGACTTTCCACTGTCATATCCAATCTACTCCTATGCTCATCCATTAAATTTTTAAATTCAGATATTGTATTTTTCTGTTCTAAAATTTCCATTTGAATATTTTTTATAGTTTGTATTTCTCTGCTGAGATTTTCATAATTTCATTTAGTGTGAGCCTATTTTTCCTTACTTTGGGTATTGTTATAATAGTTTCTTTAAAATTCTTATATGCTAATTCTGAACTCTGGACTCTATTGGGATCACTCTCTGTAGATTGTTTTTTAACAGTAAGTCTCATTTTCTTGTTTCTTCAAACGTCAAATAATTCTAAATTGCTTCTTGGATATTGGGAATGTCATTTTGTGGAAACTCTGGATTCTGCTATATTCTTCTGATGATTGGTACCATATTTGTTTGTTTGTTTTGCTTTAATATATAATTAACATGATGGGATGCAAAATGAAAATTCTGTATTTAGGCAGCAGCTCAAATTGCATTTCAATTCTTTTAGCTTTTGCTAGGCTGCTGAGAGTCTTCTCTATGCATATGTGATTCAGCAGTCAGAGGGAGACTTGGGCAGAGTTTATACAAAGAGTTGAGGGCTCCCTCTGTCTGGCTCTCTTCTTTGTGTGACTTCTCCCTAACCTCTCCAGTGGCTATGATTGCCCTGATCTGTGTCCTCTGGTTTGTAAGGTCTAAAAACTCAGGTTTTCTATCAGGTATTAGGTACTCTGCATGGCTCAGATTGTGCTTGCCTTCAGACTAGAAGCCAGGAACCAAGAATCTTACCTAAGACTCTTCCTTTCTTCCAAGTGTCACCTTCTCTCAAGAATCTACCTACTCTTGGTTGCTGTCCTGTGCTGATATTTGTATTTCATTCAGAGTTTGTGGTTGTTATATGTGGCAGGGTTTGTCCAGTAGGAACTTGCTCTGCTGTACCAGAAGCAGAACTGAGGAGTTTAGATATGGTTCTTTAAAGTGTCTTCCATCTGATGGAGAATTCTTGAGACCTTTCATGTGTAATAGAATCCACTCATTCTCGCAAAGTCAGAACTATGTTTATTTTCTGTTAAGAGTAGAGTTGCTTCTTTTCATTAAATTGGAAATGTTTGTATTTAAATATTTCAGGCCTAGAGAAAAGGAAAAATGAAACGTTTAATTTACTGTAGTTATAATTTGCCAGATTCAAGGTCAATTTGCCTGTGGAAAATCAATAGGAAGCTATAGTTATAGATATTATCCACCATTATGCCTGAGAAGTGTGCAGTAAATGTGTATGCTCAAATCATCATCTTGGCTATCTATGTATTAGAAAGGTAATAATTATAATGGTAAATTAATAAAAACAAAAATACCAAAATGAATAATGTTTTTCCTTATATTACATTCTAGAAAGTAGCATATGCTCTGGAAACTGAGAACAAAATCCTTCAGGAACAACTGAAACAAGCTTTACAGGTAAAGGATATCATGTTTTTTTAAAATTGTTAACAAGTGAAGAAAATATCTTCAAAGAACTTTTTAAATGAATAATTTTGACTTTGTAAACTAATAGATCTATATATTATACTCTTTTGCCAGGTTTTAAGTATGTTCATTTTATGCAATAGGAATATACTAGTAAAATTTAATATTCATTCTTCTCCAAAACAGTCAGCTTGAAAGAGGAGTAACCTTGGTTAATCAAAAAGAACGAATCTATTTCAAACTGAGACAATATTATATCCAAAGTAGGATATTTCAGGCATTCCAATTAAACTCAGTTAAACTAGGATGTTGACTCTTACTGTTCTTTTTCAAATTCTTGCTAAACAATAAAATAATAAATGAAAGAAGCTATAAATATTTTCATAAGTGGATAGAAAAAAGTATAATTATTTGTGTATTATATAATTTTCATTCTAAAAAATACAAGATAATGCACACATTTATTGATGATATAGTTCAAAAAGGTGGCTGGGACAAAATAGATATAAAAAAGCAATAGGTTTCCTTGTTATCAGAAACGATCATTTAGAGAACATAATAGAAAAAAATTCTATTCATAATTTTAGAATAGCATATTTCACAAAAATACACAGAGTTTTATATGAAGAGAAATATACTTTACTGAGAGATATAGATGAACAGTGAATAAACAGAAATTAATATTTTTTGTTTTGAAGCCTAAATATTACAAATATTCTAGTTTTCCATTTTCTCCAAATTGATATACAAACTTAAAGCATTTTATTTCTTGATACAAATGGAACTATTTTTGTGCTTAACAGAATTATTACAGATATATTGAGATAAGAAACTAGCGATTATGCAAAAGAACAATTAAGAAGGATTTGCTCATCCAAAAATCAATATATAATGTAAAAGTATAATAACTAAAGCAATGTAGTTCTGGATTTGGTACTGAATGAAAAGTCTAGAAACAGATTCAAACGAATATAATAATTTAGTTTTTTATAGTTTTAATTATTAAAATTTTTTTATAGAAGGATAAAATAGTTACAAAAGTAAAACTACTATAAAAAAAGTAAACTACTATGAAAAAATAGTTAGGTCTCTAGTTCATGTAATGCACCAAAATAAGTTGCAGAGTGATTTAAGATCCATAAGTAATAAATGAACTATGAAGGTATTAGAAGAAACACTGGGTAACAGTTATATGGTCTTGACTAGAGCAAGGCTTTCTAAGCATTATACCACAAAGGAATATATTACTATATTTGTCCATATATAAATTTAAAACTTTTTTATGGTAAAAAAAATCAGGAGATATAAAGATACATGGAAAAATCTTTACAAAATGTTTTATGTGAAGATCTTTTGTAGATCTACAAGAAATATGGATAGCCCTCCCCCAAACAGACAGAGGACACAAACAGACAAGTCATAATTTGGAAACACACATGTCCAATAAATGCATACAAATACATTCAATCTCACTAGTTATCAAATAAATGCACTTTAAAATAACAATGGGATAGATTTTTTTTTACCTGCCAATTGGTAAAAATGTAAAGAAGAGAAATATTTAATAATTGTGGATGTATGCTGAAATGAGCAATCTTTCACATACTTCTGTTATCAGTACAAATTGATACTTTTCTGAAAGGAAATATATGGCAAAAGTCTTGTAAAAATATAGCCTTTTAATTGAGCCATTCTACTTCTAAGTGTTTATTGTAAAGAAGGAAAAAGTGTACAGAGATTTTGTACAAGTATGTATAAAATAAAATTTCTTAATGACAAAAATGTTGGAATTATCAATATATCCATTGATAAAAAAATTTGCTAAGTAGTTTATATTATTAAATGTACTTCTGTCAGTTATTCTGATTTAGATATATATTTATTGCATGGAAACATGTCTATGACATTATTTAATGAATAGCACATATTATGTGAGTATGTATAGTATAATCCAATTTAATACAAATTTAAAAATACATATACATATATGTGCTAGTTATATTTATAAATAATTAAAAAGGATATATATCAACATGTTAAAAGTGAGTTTTCTGTTTGTGAACTTTGCTTTTGTTGATCTATATATTCTTTTATACAAATAACTTTTGTTACTTGCAAACTAAATAAAAATTCTTAAAGGTGACATTTTAAAGAAAAATTTCATTCAAGAGGAAATAAATTATTTATTTTCCCCATTTTCTTCTATTTGACATTATAGATATTAGTTATCCTGGTTGCATTCTATCACTTTTTATAATGTATACCTTTTATTAACTTTATTGTGCCTGTATAATGATTAGAGCCTTAAAAAAAGATAACAGCCAGGAGAACCTCCTGGGTATAAAAATAGCCATCAAAGTGGAAAACTTTCTTCATAGTTTTTAATTTTAATTTTGGATCTGTTAAACTATGGATTATATCAGTGGTTTGACTTAGCCTCCTTTAACTCAGTAAAAATAAAGTTGAGAAGTAATATCGGCAGGAATATATGAAGATTCCTGAAAGTTGTAATATTGGCAGGAAAATGTCACAAAAATAATGCATGATAAATGGTTACTTTTTTAAAAACAGGAAGCAGAAACAGCTAAGCATCAACTGGACTATTTCCTAAATCAAGGGAAGGAGTTACTTAAAAGTGAGGAGAAGACCAAGACAACAATGGAAATGGATAATAGTAAAATAAAAGTTAAAGGTGAAGATTCAGAATATATACCGTTGGAGAAAGAAACAAGAAAAGCACTAGTTTCAGATTCAGGTAGACGAAAGACAGATGATAAAATCCAAGAACATCAACGGGTAAGGAAGTAACCAAAATAGAGACAGTAATATGTGCTGTAAGAAGTTTATCTTTTTTATTATTATTTACTTCATTTGTATATATTACTTTTAAAGATTTTCTGTGCCTTTTTATTTTACTTGGACTTTTGCCTTTTACCTTCTGGGTATAGCAATTCATTATTATCCTGAATATGAATCTATAAATTAAATATATTTTGATTTTGAATGATCATTTAAGTATCTGAGATTTGAGAGCCAGAAAAAAATAAAAGTTTAAAGGCTAAAGATATTTTGCTGTAAATTAATAAAATTAAATATGAATGCAACACTATAGGGGAAAAACTCTTGAAAAGAATTTATTTTTGTTTCTGTTGTACACTGGGTTCAGAAACTCTTTCTTGAGCTTTGTTCAGATTTGTTAATTTATTTATACCTTAGAAGAGAAAAACAGTCCACAAAGAAGCAACTGTATTGATGAGTGATGAAAAAAGTTCAAGAAGTAAAGCAGAGTCGTTGAGAATACAATTATGCTTGTCCTTGTTCTTGCAGTATAGCTATTGTCAGGTCCCTCATTTTTTTAATAGTATTTTGTATTCTTTAGTGTCCTTCCTTCTTGTTTTCAGATTCAAAACAGTTTATGTGTATTAGAGAGAGCAGAGCAAAACTAGCAAATGGTAAAGTAATAAATAGGGTAAAATTGAACTAAAGGCTCAAGACTCTACCTTTTTAAAGAGACTATGTGACTGTCACACAGTACTTTTATCCTTATTTTTATCTTTTCTTTTTGTATATAATTTTAATTGTGAACTACCTCAGTTTATTCTTGGAAAGATAAATAATGAAGAAAATTGCTTGGATGGAAAGAGAAATTATTAAAGTTATTAGTTTTTTTGTGCTGAATTGAATGTAAAAGCAAATATGTCTAGAAATGCAGATTTCTGTGAGCTGATTTAAGACAAAGGGAAGCAGCACAATTTAAAATGTGCTAGTTATTTTATATCTGCTGTTTTGTAAAATGTGCTAGTCATTTTATGTCTATATATATATATGTGCTAGTCATTTACACAGCACTGTAAGATAGCTATTCGCACCCTCTTTTGAAGATCACACTGAAGCTTAAAAAAATTAGGTAAACTGCAACATCACAGTTAGTAATGTTGAGTTGGACTTCAAATTTGGGTCTTTCTGGCTCCAAAATTTTATCTGAGGATATCTCCTTTGCTTGTCTATTTGGCTTCATTCAAACCCTCACTTTGTTAATAGCTTAGTGTTTTTTTATTTCCTAATATTTCCCCCCGATCCAAAATAAAAGCTGTCATATGTGATAGGTTAAATATAGAAAATGTTAGATTAAATAGTAAGATGAATTTAAAAGTGTACCTTCATTACCTGAAGTATAACTACCAGGTAACTTCTTTATCTTTAACATGGGCAAGTGATTTTTATTTTTAGGGGTTTTATAAGTAGATTAACACACATCTGTCTTCTTGTGTATTCAGTTTAACACTCATTATTAAACATCTACTGTATGCTAGGTTCTTTGCACGGATGGTGTTTATAATGTCATTTATTCAGATTGGCCTGATCTGGTAATAATGAAACAGGAGGAATCATTACTGGAGGTTTTGATGGAATGGAAGTTGTGCATACTCACAGTCTCCATTTTCTTATTATAGTAATTCTTCAATTAACTGTAATCTTACTTCTTTCCCAACCACTATATTAAAACTATATTTGCCAAGGTCACAACAAATCTCCTTGGTGCTATTCTGAAGGATACTTTATAGTTTTATCTCACTTATCCTCTTAGCAGTGTTTGATCATGTTTGACCATCTATTTCTTTTTAATATAATCTGCATTTTGTTTTAGAGATACCATAATTATTTGGTTTTCTTTGTATTTTTCTACTACTCTTTTTTTGGTCTCCTCTGGCTCTGTCCATCCTTTAAATGTTGGTATTTCTCTGAATTCTGTCCTGGATTCTCTTTTTATTCCACATACTCTTTCTGAGCATGCTCATATTCCTTCATGGCTTCAAGTGCCACATAAATCTCTTGTTTCTAACCCAGATATCACCCAATTTCCAGACATATTATTTATAAACATACTGGATTTATCTATTTGAATGGGATACAAGCACCTAGAATTCATCATGTCCCAAAATGAACTAACGGCTTTCTTCTTAGACCTATTTCTTCTCCCAGTATTCACAATTTCCTGGCATCCTCACCACCTAATTGCTGAAATTAGTAACTTGAGAATCGTTGTTGTCTCTTCTATTCCTTTTTCTCAATCCAATTATTAACCATTAAATTCTGTCCATTTTTCCCAGTTTCACTGACAGTTCCCAAACTGCCACCAGGATTCTAATTGGTCTCCCTCTCTCCAGAATTAAGTATCTTCAGTCCAGTCTCCAAGTTGGAGTCTAGTCATCTTTTCAAAAATTGAAATCTATTCATGTTGCCTTCTTGCCTAAAATCTTTAATGGTTCCCATTGTTCTTAGGTTGAAGTACAAATTCCTAATTATGGATTAAGGCTTTGTCAGATCTGGTCCTTTCCTGAGACATCAGCCTCATTTTTAATTAGCCCCCCCAGCCCATTGCACATGCCTTCATAGGCACAGGCACATAAACATATTTTATGCTTCAGCTACACAGAACTTCTTTAAGTTCATGGAATATACCATGTTTTCTGTCACCTTCTTGATTTTGCATATTTTGTTCTCTTTACTTTTAACACTATTTCTCTATCCCTCATTTCCTAAAATTCATCTGGTTAAAAAAATGAATGAGGAACAAAAAGTACTGTATTAGTTATACTTCGCTGTATAATAAATTACCTCAAAACTTAGTGGCTTAGATAAGATAATACAAAAATGTATTATCTTATAGTATCTATGAGTCTGGAATCCAGGTAGGGCTTAGCTGGGTCCTTTGGCTCAGGGTCTTTCACGAGGATGTAATCAAAATGTTGTCAAAGGAAAACCAGAGCTAGGCAGTAGTCAAAGTGGTAAAAACAGATTTTATTCAAGGCTATTGCAACAGAGGAAAAAAGACCTCAGTATAGAATCAGGTTGAATTCCTAATCCACCCTGGGCGAGTGAGAATTTATCATCGAGGAGTAGGGTGGGGGGGGTCAGTGGAAAATTACTATGAAGATACTTCAGGGTTAAGGAAGATTCTGGCTAAACTGACCTAACAGGATCTTTACTAAAGACAGGCAAGAATGATCAGACATCACCTGGGGGATAGTAGAGGACGAGGAATCTGATTAGGTATTGAGGACGGTCAGATATGGAAGATGGAGGACTGTTGCTAAATTGACTTATTAGGGTGCTTGCTAAGACTGGATTTTATAAGTGCACAGATGGGCCTAAGAGAAGGTACAGGAGTTTGAATAAAATTTGGTCAAGCAAAGAATCTTTGTTAGTCCTTCCTCATGTTCATGGAAAGAAGAAACATTCTCCTTTCCTTTGAACAATATAAGTCCATTTCTTGTTTGGTCACCTTTTGTTCATTAATGACCAGCTGAATCGTCTGCTGGGACTTGGTAGTAGAGGGTATCTGCTGGATGGTGCTAGCAGTCAGGCTTTAATGAGAGGAGTTTCTATGAAAATAAAATAAAATAAAATAAAAACAAAGATTAACAGTTAAAAACCCAGTTTCTGAGTCCAGAGAGAAGCCAGTCAAGAAGCTTTCTAGATGTTGGGCTCAGAGTATCTTTAGATGGTGGAGTGAGGACAGCAGTGGAAATTCTGCAGTGAATTTCTTGGTGCAATTTGAATGTCTGTGGTGATGGCATTGGGTGTTCCAATGAACTTTCTGAGTGGGAGCAGGCATGAAGGCTGCCCACACATAATGTGTCATGGTGATTTCCTTGAAGTTTATTTCAAGTCATCCAGTTTCAGCTTGGAAGTCTTTGGGAAAAGGGCAGTTTTAATTCTCAATGATTCCAAGTCAGAAGGGAGAAAAATTGGAAACATTAAATTGAAGAGTTGTAGCCAGATACTAGAGGAAACTAGAATTCAGGATTCAGTCCAGTTTATAGGTAGATAACAAAACCTTAAAGACAATGAGCAGGACTGGAATTTAATATCCACAAGGGTATGCTATATTTTTCTATTGAAACATAATTTATCTTTCTGTAGTCACCCCCATTTCTATCAAAGATAATCAAAGTAAGACTAATTCATTTTCTGTGTAAGTCTAGTCTCATTAAAATTGGCCTGATTATTTACATAAGTGCAACAAGAATAGTGTTTGACCACATAGGTCTTTTGAGTTTGCTTTGCTGGAATTTTTCATAAGAAACTTGAGATTGGACTTGTAAAAGCCTTTTGAGGCTAGGAAGCCAAGCCAACGACTCTCTGTCAGACTTCACCTGTAATTATCTACAGACTTGGGTGAATTAATTTCTTCTTCTTCTTTTTTTTTTTTTTTGTGAGGAAGATCAGCTCTGTGCTAACATCTGCCAATCCTCCTCTTTTTTTGCTGAGGAAGACTGGCCCTGGGCTAACATCTGTGCCCATCTTCCTCCACTTTATATGGGACGCCGCCACCGCATGGCTTGCCAAGTGGTGCGTCAGTGCGCACTCGGGATCCGAACCGGTGAAGCCCGGGCTGCCGCAGTGGAGTGCACACACTTAACCACTTGCGCCACTGGGCCAGCCCCTGAATTTCTTTCTTCTTGAAGTCCTCAGGATATTCTGAGGTTCCTGGGCCTTCCAGGAAGTGATCTTTATTACTCACCTGTAAGGTCAGAAACCCTAGAAGTGAGATATCAGGCAGTTTTTTGAAGGGTTTTTTTTTGAAGAAGACTGACCCTGAGCTAACATCTGTTGCCAGTATTCCTCCTCTTTTCCTTTTGTTTTCCTCCCCAAAGCCACAATAGATAGTTCTATGTCATAGTTGTACATCCTTCTGGTTGCTCTATATGGGACGCCGCCTCAGCATGGCTTGATGAGTGGTGAGTAGGTCCGTGCCCAGGATCTGAACTGGTGAACCCTGGGCCACCAAA